AGAATCACTTCAACTGCTGACCAAACAGGTGATCTGATCCAGCAGGAAGTGCTCTTTCTCTCAGTAGAGCAGAACTCATGATGGAAAACGTGTCATATTTTCCACCTCCCAGACATTTCATTGGCTGAATTTCCATGACTGATGAAAATCACCTCTGAACTATGACTGTATCCATGCACTGGGTTAGTGACCGAATCAATATAGGCAATTAACAGTGGATAATTGAGACAAATGAGAAATATTTTCTGTTGTATGTAGGAAATAGTTGTAACTAGCAAACTTATAAAGTGTAAGTTCTTTAATTTATTTATTTTAAAATAAAGTGATACATACCTTTAGGAATCACATTAAACTACAGTGGGTTCTTCTCTAATGAACAAATCCATCTTCTAGTTTCAATATACAGAAGATTATGAGCCACGAAGAGGCAAAGGCAGCTTCCCTGCTATGATCACTCCAGGTTATCAGGTTGCTAAGAGAGCCACCCAACTAAGTAGTAATGTAAGTCACATGGGGTTTTAATTATATTTTACACCTCTGAATTTGTAGAATCCTGGGTTCAGGCCATTCACTTGAGATGTTAGATTCTATGGTGGATATTTGTTATACTGCTACAAAGTGAGAAAATGTTAACATGATGCAGAAAACAGGGATAATAAACTATTTGGCCTGGGAAGTCAATTATATAGAATAAATTACAATGTAGATATTTCCTGGAAAATGTAGCAACTTTTGCCATAATTTTTCACAACCTGAAAAAGATTCTGACTTGCTCAGAAATGTTCTTTAATTCATTACCTTTGCTTTCACATTATGGCTTTTTTAATCTAATTATTTACATTTGACATTTTTCACTTTAGTATTTGAAATCAAATAGCTGTAATATTGAAATTAATTCATATGCAAGCTACTTTAAATTTATGCACAGAAAATTGATTATTTATTAAAAGAACAATTTACATGAGAAAGATAAGTAAAAATAAATCCCATAAAAATAATTTTAAAGTATTGCATTTCTTTCTGCAGATACTATCTACATTGTCACTGCAGTGTGATCTTGGGACATTAATGACTATTCTCATGGTATTTTAATCAGATGTATGGCTCCCATAAATCAATTGAAAATTTGAATATCTGGGTCCATTTCTGTCTGTTGCTGGTATTCAGCTTAAGAAAATTGGGCCTTGAATATATTGTAGCTTGACTGTGGAGAGTGAAGAGTGTCATGACTGCTGTTGCTCTTTATCCCTTGAAGCCTTCTGATAAGAAATATACTTTTGCTGCTTATTGTTTGTAATATGGATATATATGTTTTCCTCTTCAGGTGGAATATAAGCGTGGACATGAAGAGAGAGTTTCAAAGTTCACCTCTGTTGTAGACACTCCAGATATACTTCATGCAAAGGCTGGAGCACATCTTGCAAGTGATGTAAGTAAAACAGAGCAGATTGATCTGGTTTTGGCTCTGCAAGTGGTTCCTAGGGTATTTATAAATTCCTCGAAGATATGAACACAAAGAAAAACAAAAAAAAATAGTATTTTAAAGGCAGACTCCTTTTACCATTGAGCATTTAATTCTCTCAGTTACAAAGATCACATTCAATTTGAGGCCATTTTAAGCTATCAGAACAGAAGCTGAGGAACCAATCTGTTCCATACCCAGCAAGTGGCTGCCATGCAAAGTAAGGAAAGAAACTGCCTGACTAATGTAAATAGAGCAGGCATCTTGCAGACACCTAAAGCACTTTCTTTAAACAAGCCTTTTCATCCTACACAAGGATCCTGAACAAGACAAAGGGGCCATGCAGAAGATGTGTGATTGTGTAGTTAAAGACCAAATTGCAAAGATTCAGACTCTGTGGTTCATCTTCCTTTTGGCAGATGACAGCCATCGAACGCCTGTGCAACTTTAAAGATTGATTTTGTGTGCAATCAAGATACATTTGCTCTAATTGCTCCTGAACTGTCTTGAATTTTTACAGTTGAAATACACAGAAGACTTTGAAGAACGGAAGGGAAAAGGCAGCTTTCCTGCTATGATCACTCCAGCTTATCAAATAGCCAAGAGAGCAAATGAATTAGCCAGTGATGTAAGTGTCTAAAGCAAAATCTCTTTTGGGGAAGAAAATATTAAACTATCACACAAATTTTAAATGAAAACATACTGGCAGCAATTCCATGAACATGGCATACTGATCTTTACTGGCTTTCTTTTCCTTTCCAAACATAACAAAATCACAACACCCCTGTACTCTTTAATAAACACCATAAAAGGACATCAGTATTCTTTCAAAGTGTACAGTTAATTGTGCTTTGTTATTGGAAACTGAAAGAAAAGCTCTTTTTGTTGGAGAAGATAACATATGGAAGAACATATAACTCAAAGGAACTGAATTTAAAACATTGTTAAGAGTCAATGAGGAAAATAAGAGATCTGTAATTTTGAAGGTAAAAGCAACTGACTCTAAAACAATTACATGCCTTTGTTTGCCTTTGATCTATGGAAAATCCTTCACTTTTGTCAGCAAACACACATGGTGATTAAAGGGCAGCATCAGGTTACAGGCATTGTTTTGACTTAAGTAAATGTAGTGCAAATCT